ATTGATAAATTACATTGAACAACTCGTCGTCATTTAGAAATCAGTGTACTTGCGTAGCGTCAGAACCCACCAAATATAACTAGCTGACAGTTTCACCCTGTTACTGGTCTATCGACTGTACCGACTGTCGACTGGCTACCTTCCTGTCCGAGTGTACCACAAATTTGCAACTGCTTTTGAAACTATGAAATATTTGACGTTGTTTAGCCTAATCTTTTGTTTCTGCTTTATAAATGGTACGTTTCATTTGTACACTTGTAAATCTAAAAATTTTTTTATGGATTAAATAAGTGATTGTTTGATAAAAATAGCGTATATACGTGGTACTTTTAAAAGTAAACAGTAATTTTTTTATGACTGCTTTTTTTTTCGTTCTGTTTTGCTGAGAGCAAAAAGAGATTTTTATTTCTTCAATGAGTTTCTGTGGGATGCAGATATTTTGTTGCTGAGATTAAAAAAGTTTGTATAAAGCGTTTAGCAAACCTTATTTATTTTATGTTCAGATTAATGCTTATTAGTGTTTTTCTTTGTTAGGACGGCCAATAGAGCCTTTTGAAGAGCTGACTATGTCCGATGAAGAAGTACGGCAAATCCAGAATGAAGAATTAATGCCAAAAAAAAGTGAAGGTGCCGCACAGGCACCAAATCAGTCGGCTAAAACGGCAACTGAAAAACCAGTAGAAAAAGTTCCAACACCGGCTGCTGTTACAGTAACCACCGAGAAGACGACCGTTACAAAACCGGCGGTTACTGATGCTCCAAAAATTGCTGATTCAAATGCTGAAGCTCCAGAAGTTAGAGCATTAATTGAGAAAGAAAATGAAATGTTAAAGAAAGAAGAAAATGCTATCGATAATGCAATTTTTTTGGTGGAGCAAGCAACTAAATTGCAATCAGAAGGTCATAATATAACATTTGGTATCATTGAAGAAAAGGATATTGATGGTGAAAAAGTAAAAGTGTTCAACGATGGATCAGAAGAAATTGTTGTTCGAGATAATTCTGTTGATTTCAAGCTTAGTATTATGTGCTTAGCTATTGTTGGTATTGTTTTATTCTTACTTTATACATATTGCTTGTACTAATAGGAAAGATTATCTGTTTTAATTGATATTGACAGATTTAAATTCAAATTTAGAAACTAAATTCAGCAGAAAAAAAGGCGGTAAGTGAACAACATGTTTAATAAAAGAAGAAAATTAACCCAATTTGCAATAAATACTTTAGGTTTTTTCTTCTACATTTTTTTAATTTTTAATCTTTTTTTTTAATTTTTTGTTGTATTTTAGTACCGTCTTCAGCAGCGATTATTTTTATTATCTCTAATGTAAAAAGAGCTTAAATTTTTTTCTTTACAAAAATGAGGCTTTTTTTTTTGTTTGTTTAAGTACTATTATACTGTAAATTGGGGGTAACGATGATATCGGGAAAAGCTTAATGATGGTGTTTGTAAAAGAAGTAAATCTCGGTGTTGATTACCCCCAATACTGTCACTGATATCATTTTTCAACTGCAATTCCCAAAATCTCACTACCAAAACGTGTATTTTGATTTTACTGTTTAGTTTTTGTTCTTTTTTATTATTGTCTTTTATCTATTTCATTTTCTTTTTTACAATATTTTTCTTCTTATTGTGGATAGTTAATATGAACTTTCAAGCTTGATGTATATTTATAAGAGGTATTGTTTTTTTTTTTTTTTTTTTTTTTTTTTTT